ATAACGCAGGAAGATGAAGTAGGACGCAGCAAAAGGGCTCGAAAATCGAAAGATTTTGGACCAGAATTTGTTGTGTACCTTCTAGACGATGAGCCTCAAACCTATAAAGAAGCCATGTCTTCACCGGACGCTGTACAATGGCAAGAGGCTATCAAAAGTGAAATTGATTCCATCATGTCTAACCACGTCTGGAAAGTGGTAGATTTGCCTCCTGGATCTAAACCTCTAGGATGCAAATGGATCTTCAAAAAGAAAAGGAGAACTGATGGAACAATTGAAAAGTACAAAGCTCGATTGGTTGCCAAAGGATACAACCAAAAAGGAGAATTTGACTACTTTGATGTCTACTCACCGGTCACAAGAATAACTTCAATTCGAACGTTATTAGCAATAGCTGCATTGAAGGGTTTGGAAATCCATCAAATGGATGTAAAAACTGCATTCTTGAACGGTGACTTAGAGGAAGAGATTTACATGCAACAACCTGAAGGTTTTATTGTCCCCGGACAAGAAAGAAAGGTTTGTCGCTTAGTAAAATCTCTTTATGGGTTAAAACAAGCCCCCAAACAATGGCATGATAAATTTGACAGTGTAATGCTATCAAATGGATTTAAGATCAACGAGGCTCACAAGTGTGTGTACGTGAAAGGCAATCAAAATGACTACGTCATAGTGTGTCTATACGTAGATGATATGCTCATTTTTGGTAGTAACAGTAATTTGATAAAGGCTACCAAAAGTATGTTGGCCAGGAGATTTGAAATGAAGGATCTCGGTGTTGCTGATGTGATTCTAGGAATTAAAATCATCAGAACACCTGAAGGGTTGATATTATCTCAATCACACTACATTGAGAAAATGCTTGAGAGATTCAAGAAGTATGATATCAAACCCATGAGAACTCCTTTTGATTCCAGTGTTCACCTCAATAAAAACAGAGGAGAAAGTGTGTCACAAGATGACTATCCTCGGGTCATAGGATGTTTAACATATGTCATGAATGGAACACGACCCGATATAGCTCAAGCTTTGAATAAGCTAAGCCGGTTTTCTGTAAATCCGGGTAGAGAACGCTGGAAAGCACTTATAAGGCTGCTTGGGTATTTGATGTACACCAAAAACTATGGTTTACATTTTCAAAAATATCCAGCCGTGCTAGAGGGATATACCGATGCAAATTGGATATCCGATTCCAAGGATACAAAATCAACAAGTGGATATGTGTTTACCCTTGGAAGTGGTGCTGTGTCGTGGAAATCTTCCAAACAAACATGTATTGCAAGATCTACCATGGAAGCTGAATTCATTGCCTTAGATAAGGCTGGAGAAGAAGCTGAATGGTTGAGAGAGTTTTTGGAAGATCTTCCTTGTTGGGAAAAGCCTGTCCCTCCAATATCCATTCATTGTGATAGTCAAGCTGCAATTGGAAGGGCAAGGAATGCAGTTTATAACGGTAAGTCTAGACACATCCGTCGTAGACATAATACCGTTAGAAAACTAATTAAAAATGGGATCATCTCTCTTGACTATGTTAAGTCGAAAGAAAATATTGCGGATCCGCTAACCAAACCTCTACCGAGAGAGTTGGTCGAAACGTCAAGGAGAGCGATGGGCCTACGGCCAATGATCCAATAAAAAGTCCATGGGGAAACCCTACCTATTATTGAGAGTGCCTCATAATTAGGTTCAAAGGGAAAACACAACTGTGGACTGGCTCGGGCGGTACTAGCCAAGATATAGTACACTCATGTCATGAGCACTTAGGGTAAGTTACGCTTTTAATGATCTCTATATCTCGATAAGTTCAAGTAAGGTATGACATGATACCTTCCATAGAGATCACCTATGCTGGTGGAAGAAGGCCGCTTCTATGAGAGTCTATGGCACGAGATAAATTCTCCGGTGCACGATATACTCTTGAAAACACTAGCTGAACCAGGAGGTGTTCAAGGCCGAAACGAACACAAACGTGAGAACCAAAGATGCACTCGGGGCTCTGTGTGTTATTCATTGTCTAGGTTTACGCTAAGGCTGACAGTTCAAGGCAGAAATGGTCACTGATTGGCCGGTAAATCCGATGAATATACACTAAGGTAGGTTCAAAGTTTCACGACTACCTAACCCTATGCAGAGTTCCCATCTTCCCATGTCAAATTCCAATCTGTTTCCTGTCTTTAAGCCAATTTCCCATTCATGTGGGGGGATTGTTGGAAAAATGGTTTTACAAATTAATATGGTCATTAATATTATTTGGAAAAACCATTTCTGGAATGAATGAGAAATTGTTCCCCGAAAGATAAGCGTGAAATTATATTTAACCCGCTCACACCGCCGCCGTAAGTCGGCTAGCTCGGGTCGGGCCGGGTTCGAGTCTCACCGGACATTTTCGTATGGCTAAAGACTGGAGATTATTTTGCTACGTTTTTATTCCTTTTCGGATAAAACCAAATAGAAGACATAACTATTCGTTTTAAAAGAAAGGTCATGAACTTTCTTTTAATAGGTGTCTTTTGGGTTAGAGACTCCTGGCCAGAGTTCTATAAATACCCGCCTTGTGTTCAATTTTAAAACATCCGAAAATCAACAACAATCCTCCATATTCGATCTCTTCCTTTTGTTGCATCTTTGAGTTCGCCGGGATCCCGTTGGGAGCGAAGAACCGTTCTATCCTGGGAGACGATTGCTACGTGTGTCGGGCAAAAACGTCTTAAGGAAACAACGTTTACGTTGGGCTCGGTTACAAGTATTCTTACGTTTTCCTTAATTATTTATTAGTTATTATATTTTCATGCAGAATTAGTACACATATTCTTAACATTTTCTGCTTTTTATTTGTTTCTTTCTTTGCAGGTGCACATGTAGTTTATACGTAGTATATTTTTGGACTTAATTCAGTTTTTATTGCTTTATAATAGATTTTGCATTTTAATATACACAAAAGATTGTAGTTTTAATTATTGTGGGAAACTAATTGTTACGATTGAATAGTTTTGATAACTATATTCCAAAATTAATAAATGAGCTAGATAAACAATTATTTAGTCTATTTAGCATATCCGCACATAAAATTATAATTTAGAACAACAACATCCAAGCCTTATTCCAAAAAAAAATTGGGACCAACTAAGAACACTCTAAGATAATATTTATTTTTTAAAACCGGGTCAATTAGGGTCAAAACCGGAGCGGACCGGAAATTTCAGGTCCGGACCGGTCCGGACCGGTTAGATTCAGGTCCGGTCTTCGGTCCAAAGAAAATGATGATTCCGGTTCCGGTCCTAACCGGTTCCGGTCCGGTTTTGGACCGGTGCACACCCCTAGTAATTAGTATAGTTATTGTTCTATTATCACACCACAACAACAAATCTGCCATTTTTGCAGTTGGAATTTCAAAATGGGAAGATGTTGGGACTATTCCCTTATTGGTTGTTAATTCACTTCTTGGTACAATGGGTGGTGTTGAGTCTTTTAAGGAGGATAGTGATAACGGCCCACCCTTTGTGATGTTGAACTCTAGAGATGCAAATGTGGCAGGTGAGCTCATTGTTTGGTTGTCTCCTGTAGGGGATATTGCAGGTCTCATGTCTCACAGAACCCGAATGGTAAGAGGGTTGCTTGTGATTTTTGCGTGCTTGCACTTCAAATAGAGCAATGTGCCCCACAGCTAGTTCACTAAGTGTTTAACTGCAGTAGTCAAAAAGCTTTTTGTTCTGGTCATAACCCGGACGCTTAGTGTTTTACACAGTGACATGAGAAGGGACTCCTCTATGCTCTTGCATTCAACATTAAGTTGGGTTCTGTTTTTAGTTTTGAATCAAAACCTCCAAACCATTAAAGTTAAAAATTATAATCAGAGACATCTTTTAGAATCTTGGGTAAAGTATCTTGGATGCTACTCATAGAACAATGAAATGCAATAAGTTGAACATGTTCCAAACATTTAAATTCGAATTGTATTTGAATGAGGCAAACTAACATACCAACTAGCACTTATATTAAGATAAGACTGGTAGAAACTTACCAAATCAGTTAAAAATTTTACAGAGATTCCACTTGAAGCTTACAATCTAACTTTACACACAATCTAGAAATACAAACTAACTAAAAAGTACACATAGTACTCCAATGAAAATACAAGACAATACAACAATCAAACAATTTCTCATTTTATTTCTTTCCCTTTCCAATGTCATATTCTCAGTTGTTTTGAAACTCCTCAATTCTTGAAGCTCATTAATATCATAATTTTGGACTCCAACTTTATAAGGCCCCCTTGCCTTGCACCTATGTCATGCTCCAGCTTCCAAATCTTAGACCGTAGCTGTTTATTTTCCATTTTGAGCTCAATAATAACATCTCATGCCCTACTAGTTAATGGCTCATCGTGCCCTTCAAAGAATTCACAGCCATCACTCTGCATATATTATGAAACATTTAAATTATAAACATAAATAAAATTGTTTTTCTAAAATTAGATATATACCTCATATTATGAAACATTTAAACTATAAACATAAATAAAATTACTTTTTTAAAATTAGATATATACCTCATAATTGGCAAGGGTAATGAAATTCAATGATGCTTCAGTTCAGGATTGATCCCTGGGTGTTTTGTATTTCCCTTTGCAGGTGAGCTTGATTATGAACCCGATTGCCTCATAATCTAAATTTCCCCTTTGTATTTCGTCTGCAGATAGAAGATACATGAAGGCGTGGATGAATTAGGGCTGTTATCTTAATCTCGTTGAACTTTTTGGAGCTGAGGGCCAGATTGAGAAGAAATTGAGGTTGCTAAAATGTCGTCTCCTTTACCCCGACTACATCCCCCACTTTCTACAGCTTTAATTTTGAGCGAAGGGATGAGTATAAAAATGGGGTTCTTGGTCGCCAAACAATAGCGTTCTTCTCATTCCCCTTTGTAAATAACCTTAGTGTCCATTTTGGTCTTTCTCCCAAATTCTAATAGTCACCATCAGAGTTCTCTATACATTAAGGGGGTGTCCCCAACATGGATTTTAATAGAGTTTAGATTTCCATTAAAATCCGGGTATACTCAATATGGATTTCTAAGGAATCTATTAAAATCCAGATATCCTCAAATATTCCATAGATTTATATGTTAATGGACTTTAAAAGATTTTGATGGACTTTTAGACCAAAATATTGAATAATTGAGTCCACCAACAATCTCCCTAACACCCCTTGGATTTCCAAATCCATTTTTAAAAAACCCTGCGCACGCCATCTCGCCCGGAAAATTGATCGACACAGCTCCCTGGTTCTCTTCCATCTTCCAACTACACTCACCTTCTTCATCCTTCAAGTGTTCTCCAGGTATGGTTTTCTCCAGATTTTTATGTCATTCTCATGTCGATGCCTTTCTGTTTTTTATGCTGATCTAGTAGTGAACTTGTAAGAATCGATGTCGATGCTTATTGATGCATAATCCCTTCTTCATCCGTTATACTCGATTATAAGCATAATAAGCATCTCTAGAAAGTCATTGCTTATCCCTTCTTTCAGTATTACTTTCGTATTCATCAGCCTTTTTAAAAATCGAGCCTTTGTATTCTCAGTGTGGCTTTTTTAATACTGATTAATCAGTATTACTTTCGTATTCAGCATTAAAAAGTGTGGCATCGGCATTCAGTATTAAAAAGTATTCAGCTTTATGGTTAATCAGTATTACTTTCGTATTCAAAAGTAATGCTAATGGACTATTTTTAATGCTTATGAATCGACATGTTCATCCGTTTAAGTTTGGCTTATGAAACTACTTACATTTTTATGTTGGTGGACTATTTTTAATGTTTGCTTTCTTTGTTATATCGATCTGTAAGTTTGGCTTTGAGTTACATGTTGGTATTTTTACTATATGCATACTAGTATTTACCATTTTTTAACATTATATACATAGTATTTACCATAAAAACTCGCTTTCACTCTGCTGAATTATTATACGTGTAAACACTCCTTTATATTTAACTATACACTCCATACGTGTATAATTTGAATTGTCCAAATTATAGTTTCCAGGCTTGTTTAACTATAACTCCATATGTGTATCTTTATATCAAGGCCAAGTGATTAATTTGATATTTATGAAGCCATTAGTATATTAGTAATAAAGTATTTTTACAACACTCATAATACGTAAATAAAGGAATTTTACTTTTGATTGTTTGTAGTGCTAATGTATTTTTACTCTAGTGCTAAATAAAGTATTGTTACTTTTGATTTTAACTTGAATCTCCCAAACTCAATCAATTGTTTGCCAAGTAGGATGATAGTTCCTACTTCCTGTTTGTATGGGACACAGATTTTGCATTTTAATGCTACTTTATTAACAGTGCTTACATGTTAGAACCTATTGTTACCTTTCCTAACTTCTTAATTAGGAATAATGGCTAAAGATATAAAACGTGTTGATTAGAACCAAGTTTAAAACAGACATTTTTAAATTGTTTATGTGCTTATAAGATAATATGCTAATAATAATTAACAAATGAAACTTCTAATTAAATTAAAAAAAGTATAAATAACATGTTCTAACATACAATAATTTATCTTTGTCTCAATTAATTTTGACTAAACTATGCTTAATAAGTATAACTTCTTTGGTAGTTCTACAATGGGTGATTCACAAGAAAAGGGAAAAGGTGCGTATAATTTCTGGAGTGCAGAAGAAAGTTCTTTATAACTAGAACTTTTGGTTGAGGCTGCTCAACGTGGATGGCGTGATAGTAGTGGACTCATTAGTAAACAAACTGTTGAATCAAAAATACTCCCGGTGCTGAATGAAAAGCTTGGATGTCAAAAGACATACGTACAATATCAAAGTCGGTGGAAGTACTTCAAGCAAAGATATCAAAAATATGTTGATCTTATGAAGTTCAGTTCGGGGTTTGGGTGGGACCCAATTACAAAAAAATTCACTGCGAGTGATGAAGTGTGGAAAAACTACTTAGAGGTATAGCATAATCCTACAATTACTTAAATAACTAATATTTAATTATATTATCCAAAATTAACTTACTCCATAATATATATATATAATCTTCTCTTTTGTAGTCTCGTGGTGCTCATAAGAGTAGCGGTTCTAAGAAGCGAACCAGAGATCAATGTGAAGTGAGCTCTAAGGCAAAAAGCAGTGAGTCTCGTTCTGAATTTAAGACGAAGGTTGCTAGTGGAATGGATTCTATTGTTGAGATTGCTAGTGACATTCGAGGAATGAGGATATTGATGGAAAAAAAGGAGAAAAGGGAATCGGAGAACAACATATGGGATGCTATAAAAGAGACTCCGAATTTAGATGAGCGCACACGCTACAAAGTCCCTAAGCTCATATATAAGCTTGGAATGAAAGAAGCGTTTCTCAAAATGTCACCTCAAGAGCGTCAAGAGTGGATAATCTATAACATCGAAGAAGACTATGCTTGATTTAGGAAGCTTTCTTTACTTTATTTTTCATTAAACTTTTATTTCTGATGCAACCTTTCTTGTTGAACACTTTTGTTATTGAACTGATCATATTCCTTGTTACTGTTTTATGACTTTTATGACTTATTTATACCATCTGGTGTTATTTTTAATTACTTATTGCATTTATTGTTGTGAAATTCCAATTAAAATGACATTTAAATGTTTTTATAGGTTGGATGAAATGGAAGATGAAATGAGGGAAACAAGTAGTGAAGAATTTTATGAGATGTTGAAGTTAATTTTATTAGCTCTTGAAGCAATACTTCAAGTGTTGAGTGACCTGTTACTCTTAATGCATGAGGGAGAGTATATTGAGCGTCCTACTCACAAACCTATCACCACCATTGGATTTAATTACATAAATACAGTATTAACTGAAGACCCTGCGCATTTTAGAAAAATGCGTAGGATGTACCCCGATGTTTTTTTAAAACTTTGTAGCATCATTAGGGAAAAAACACCGCTTCGAGATACCCGTTATGTTTGCGTGGAAGAAATGCTTGCGACATTTTTACTCACGGTTGGTCAAAACAGCCGTTTTTGTATCACACGCAAGACATTTGGTAGAGCACATTCTACTACTAGCAGAAATTTTAACAAAATTTTGAAGGCTTTAAACACAATTTCTTCCATGATGATGGTGAAACCGGCATTCCTAGCAAAATCAGAGAGAGTACACGGTTTTATCCTTACTTTAAGGTAATCATTTACTAGCTCCTATAAAACTTTAATTTCTTATTATAATTCTAAAATTATTATTTATTTTCTTACTAGGATTGTATTGGATCAATTGATGGTACACATATACCTGCGATAGTTGAGGGTCGTGATGTGACCCCTTACCGTAATCGCCATGGAAAACTATCACAAAACGTGTTGGCGGCTTGTAATTTTGACTTGGAGTTCATTTATATTCTTAGTGGTTGGGAAGGCTCAGCTCATGATTCAAAAATATTAAATGATGCACTGACGAGAAGAAATGGGTTAAAAGTTCCACGAGGTAAGCATCATTTTTATCACTATAAGGTATTTTTTATTGTGTCGTATAGTAATTTATCATCTATTTCATTTGTCATTTAGGGAAGTGTTTTCTAGTTGATTGTGGATTTGCAAATCGACGTCAATTTTTGGCTCCATTTCGAGGTGTTCAATATCATCTTAAAGATTTTGGTGGGCAAGGTCGTCATCCTGAAAATGAAAGGGAGTTATTCAATTTACGTCATGCTTCCTTGAGGAATATTGTTGAGAGAATATTTGGCATTTTTAAATCACGATTTGCGATTTTTAAGTCAGCCCCTCCGTTCCCATTCAAAACGCAAACAGAGTTAGTATTGGCTTGTGCAGGAGTGCATAACTTTTTACGCAAAGAGTGTCGCTCAGATGAATTTCCTGTTGATTCAGACGATGAAGACTCTTCAGATGAATCTTTATTAGAAGACGACGAAGATGAAATTGACAATCTCCAAACACAGGATGAAGAAAGGCAATATGCAAATCAATGGAGAAATGATATTGCACAACAAATGTGGACGGATGTTATCAATGAAGATTAGATAGATTGAATCTATTTCTTTTGTTACTTTAGTACGGTTCCTAATTGTTTAAGGTTGTACTTCGATTGCGGTTCCTAACTGCTTAAGGTTGTGCTTTTATTTAGTACGGTTCCTTTTGTTACTTTAATACGGTTCCTAATTGTTTAAAGTTGTTATATTTCAATTTGAGGTTTTTCCTTAAATATCACTAGATTGAAGGCAATTTATTGTTAACCTTTTTCATTTTTCCTTTTGAAAAAATGAAAAAAAAGTGCGAATAATTTTTTTATCAAAATGTTCCTACGACTTTTTCGACGGCGGTTAGCAGCGGCTGAGCAGGTGTGGGGGTGGGAACTAGGGCAACGGTTTACACTGGCTTGTATCTCAAATCTATTAAAATAGAATTCCATTAAAATCCATTGAAATCAATATAATTCCATGAAATAGAATTCCATAGAATTCCATATGAATCTCATGGAGTCTGTAGAATTCTATTAAAATCCATAGAATCTACAATACTTTAAAATCATTTAAAATCTGTGTTGGGGACACCCTGTACAAGAGTTAAGACCATACAAATTTATCCGTAATTTTTATTTGTTCCAAGAGTTAATTAAGAGGATTACTGTGAAACTGCAAACTGAATGAATTTTGCTCAACTATAGAAACAGAAACATGTTTACAATGGAGTAATATTTATTAGTAGAACGACTAAACCAAATGGGTCTATCTCTCAAACATACAAATCATCAAAAAAAAAAAAAAAAACAAATCATCAATTATTGTTCATCTCTCTCCATTTATATAAAGTAAAAAATCAAGTTTAAAAGACAACATTTTTTCCCCAAATAATATTTCTTAACGTGCCCTTTTTTATGAGCTCATTAATGTATAATCTTATTTTCATTTTAACTACTTGAATTTCAATTTCAAAACTCTCGCTAACTAGTATATACTCCCTCTATCCCTTAAAGGTTTGCCATGTTTGACCGGCACGTAGAATAATAAAGTAAAAATTGTGTGGTAGAAATTTGTACAGAGGAGAGATTAAAAAGGAAAGTGGCAAAATTTTAAGGACAACCAAAAAAGAAAAGTTGGCAAAGTTATAAGGGACGGATCAAGTATTAAAAAGAAGGAAGTGATTAGGATTGAAGGTTATATATATCATCAATTCCAGAAACCCTCTTTCTTTCTTTATAAGAAGTTATAAAGATCGTATTTGTCTTTAAATTATAGGAAGTCATTGGTTGATTGGAGACTTTCAGTTATGTCATGGGATTTGAAAATTTTATATTTGTGATTTGATTGCATTCAATTTATAATACTTATAGGTTGCAATTTTTCTAAATTATTAGATATTTCTTTGCAAATATAATAAGAATACTCGCTTTTGAGGCATTTTATATTATTTAAATGTGTGGTATTACATACTATGTATGTTTTTCACAAATTTCAACCAGTCATTATTTTTTCAAGCATGATCCCGCAGTGGCGGAACCAGGACGTACTCGTGACTCGCAGAGGCACAATAACAAAGAAATCATATACTATGTACTACTCTAAAAAAATTTAAATAAAACAACTACTTAAAGAGTACCTTAATTTTGATTAGAACCTGACGCGTCAAATGAAGAAGATTCATTGAGAGGCAATTTTGATTAGAACCTGACGCGTCAAATGAAGGAGATTCATTGAGAGGCGACAATCTTTGTCTTCGAGATGCCATACTCTGAAATCGCTTCATAATGACTTCATTCTCAATATTTTAACAAATATGTCAAGTATTCTTCTCCCATCTTGTAGCGCAAATCACCAACAATGTCATCATCGGACAATTCAACTTCTATTCGAGCCTTTTTAACATTATTGTCATTGTTAGGAATGACATTATCTGATGAAGAAACTAAATTATTCGATGAAGAACCACCGATGCTTGTCTATTTAGGTTCTGGTGTATAATATCGTAACATAGCGATATTTTGTCAAACAACCTAGGCCAATTACAATTGAAATAATATGAGTATAATTGTATAAATTATATTATAACAAATTAACAACATTAACTAAATAAGTAAATACATAATTATAACTTTACAATATAATTAACATTTTAATGAGATTATCAGTTATCACAACATAATTGACAAAAACTTCAACACTGTATTTGAATTCAACAAGTAAAAGTATTCAACAATTAACATTTTATTTGAATTAAATAAATACAATTCAATAAATTTTTTTAAATGAAATTATCATAAAAACAATTAGTTTAAGGCATTAAGAGGCTTACTAGGAGCCCAGTCGTCCAGGCGTCTAGAGGCGCAGTCGCTAATCGCTATTCTAGTTCCTACTCGCTGACTCGCTACTGTGATTTGTTGGTGTTGTACGTAGGGGCAGGGGCTTGACCGCTTGAGTTGGGACTTGGGGTCTTGGCGTTTTTGGCTTTTGGGGAGTTGGGCTGCGGGCTGTCCCAGGGAAGGGATTTTGGGATTGGGTTGGCACAAGGGAAAGAGCTAAGGTAAAGGGCTTTTGGGATTGAGTTGCAGGGGTTCAACTAATTAAATGTTAATATATATATAGTGGAATGTTCAGGTCCGAACATTCCTGGTCCAAACACCGTCCGAACTTGCCCATTTGGGGCCCTTCCCAGTGGAATTTTTTGATGAACTTTTTTGAGCATGTTCCTCATCAAGTCTAGTTTGTCCATACCAAATTTCAGCTCAAAATTCGATCGGGAAGGCATTCAAATCATTTTTTGAAGTTGACTGCATCAAAATATACATATAAAAAACGCAGATCAGGCCTAATTACATGAAATTAATTCAACTGAGCCTAGCTAATCATTACTAAGTTCTTACCGTTCTCGCGGCGTAGAGTAGAATAATTTAGGGGACCAGGATGATCTCTCATGCGACAGGATCCTAAATTATTGCCAAGACGAGCGAGCTTACGACCCCTTAATCGCTACTAATCTCTTAGCCAACGATTAAGTGTGTAAGAAGGTGTCCTAGAATAAACTAGATCTCTCTTAATGTATTCTACAAACAATTGTAATTCTAGCCGCGGTTCCAGGTTACAAAAGATATCAATTAAATTATTCAAACACAAATTAAACCGCATTCATGCAATTAACCCATCAAGAATCTAGCCATACATCATGGTCAACCCCTTCATCAATCCCAAATCCCTAACTAAAACTACTCACAATTCATAATTGAAGAATCAATAGATTTGGAATAAAAAGAATTAACTGTCATTAATTAAAAAGATGGAACTTACAAAGAGTACCGAAAGATTGATGAACAAGGCTGAAAAGCCCTCTAAAATTCGTGCTAGGCACTCTCTCCAAGCTCCCCCTTGAAAACGGGGGTTTACAGGCTGTTTAAATAGAAAAATCGGGTGAAATTTGAGCTGAACTGGGATTTTCGGAAACAGACACGGTGCCAGGCATGATAGTGCCTCCAGAGCAAAAACGCGCATTTTAGGCAGGCACGATCGTTCCTCCCTCCAGGCACAATC